ACTACAGGCCGCCTGAATGTAGAACTTCTGGATGATCCTCCTTCCTCCAGCACATGAAGCAGCTGCAGAGTTACAAACATGAGTGTGAAAGGAAGGCCACACGTGTGCCTGTTTGCTGTGAAGGAGAGATGTTCAGGCCAGGAGATAACGTACAATATGGGGATTCTTGTTGGCCGTAGTGCTCAATGGTGCCTTTATGTTCCCTTTTATTCCCCATATGTGTGTTTTTACAAGTTAACCGGCCCTTAAAGTCCCAGTAAAAGTGAAGCAGAGCGATTTGACCTTCTGTATTTAGCTGCTCCAACAGCAGAAGATGCTTTGGGTGCATTTTGTGTCAATCATGTGAGTTAGAAAGTATTCTTCTTTCACACAGCGAGACGCTACTGTAAAGGGTGCAGACAAGTGTGTGGGTTCAATTGCACGACTCGGAGACACAAGTAGTTGCAGTAAACCAATTTTACTGTTGGATGGCAGTACAAACACGGGTGTAAGAATCCGACAGAAGGCAGGTAGGTGCAAAGGTCGTAAACGTTCCGGTCCAAGGTCGGTACACGGGCAGGCAGTCGATCACCAGGCAAGGTATCCGGCAGGGAAAAGGCAGAGACGTGACGCGTTAACCAGGCAGGGGTCGGTAACAGGGAGGCTATCAGGAGTAAATGCTGGAACGCTAGGAACATTGTATCAAAGACGAACTGGCAACAGAGGACAGGAACCCACAGACTAAATACACCGGGTGATGAGGGCCAGGTGCAAACAATCAGGGAGGGGCTGACAATCACCCAGGTGGAACCCACACACCTGAGGGAGGGAGGAATCTGAAACGAGAGGTGAGTAAACAATAACACATAACCGAAGAATTATAAATAGCCCGCCAACTTAACTTAATACTCAGGGCTGGACATAACAGTACCCCCCCCTCCTAGGGACGGCACTGGACGTCTCTGGCCGGTCAGGATGTAGACGATGGAAGTCTAGAATGAGGTTCGGGTCAACAATGTTCTTTTTAGACACCCATTTCCTCTCTTCAGGGCCGTACCCCTTCCAATCTACCAAGTACTGGCGACCGCGACCACGGCGGCGAACTGCCAAGAGGCGTTTGACCGTGTACACCGGCCCTCCATCGACGATCCTGGGAGGAGGAGGGGGCTTGGTGGGGGGGACCAACGGGCTCTCCAATGCAGGCTTGATCCGGGACACGTGAAAGGTGGGATGCACCCTCATAGAACTGGGCAGCTGGAGTCGCACTGCAGCGGGGTTGATAACCCTGGAGATGGGGAACGGACCAATAAACCGTGGAGCCAACTTGCGGGACTCCACACGTAGGGGAATGTCACGAGTAGACAGCCAGACTCTATTGCCTGTTCGGTATGTGGGTGCAAGGGTCCGTCGACGGTCTGCCGCCCCCTTTGTACGGACGGAGCTTCTTAGAAGGACCTCCCGAACCCCCTTCCAGATCCTCCGGCACCGATGGACGAACCTCTGGGCAGAGGGGACATTGACCTCCCTCTCCAAGTCGGGGAACAGTGGAGGTTGGTAGCCATAGGCACACTGAAATGGAGAAAGGCCGGTAGATGCACTGGGTAATGTGTTGTGTGCATACTCAACCCAGATGAGATGATTGCTCCAGGTAGCCGGGTTTTGGGAGACAAGGCATCGTAGTCCGGTCTCCAACTCTTGGTTCATCCGCTCCGCCTGACCGTTTGACTGGGGATGGTATCCGGAGGAGAGGCTGACTGTGGCACCGAGGAGGGAACAGAACGCCTTCCAGAACTGTGAAACAAACTGTGGGCCCCGGTCTGACACCACATCCTTCGGAAATCCATGAATTCGAAAAACATGCAACAGGACAGCATCTGCTGTCCCTTTGGCTGAAGGCAGCTTGGGCAAGGGAATAAAATGAACCATTTTCGAGAACCTGTCAACAACTGTTAGAACAGTGGTGTTACCTTTTGAAGGAGGCAAACCGGTGACAAAATCCAGAGAGATATCAGACCAGGGGCGATGGGGCACAGGAAGTGGCTGCAGGAGACCCGAGGGTGGACGTCGTGAACTCTTGTTCCGCGCACAAACGGGACAGGCAGTCACATATTCCCTGACCTCTCTCTCCATGGATGGCCACCAGAAGCGTTGTTTGACAACAAAGAGGGTCCGCCGTATCCCAGGGTGGCAAGAAACCCGAGAGGTATGAGCCCAATGGATGACCTGAGGACGAAGTGGAATCGACACAAACAACCGGTTCGGAGGACATCCGTCCGGCACCTGACCATTGACATTAGCCTGTCTGACCCTCTGTTCGATAGCCCAGGTAACTGCCCCAACCACACAGGATGGAGGCAAGATTGTAGAGGGAGATCTCGGGGCAGAACCAGGGTCAAACAAACGAGATAGTGCATCTGCTTTTGTGTTCTTAGAACCAGGGCGATATGACAGAGAAAAATTGAAGCGATTGAAAAATAAAGCCCACCTGGCCTGTCTGGAATTTAACCGTTTAGCGGACCTGATGTACTCAAGATTCTTGTGATCAGTCAAAACTAAGAACGGCTGTTCCGCACCCTCCAGCCAATGGCGCCACTCCTCCAGAGCCACTTTAATGGCTAGTAACTCCCTATTCCCCACATCATAATTTCGCTCAGCGGGCGAAAGTTTCCGGGACAGAAAGGCGCAGGGATGGAGCTTTCTGTCCACTTCTGATCTTTGCGAGAGTATGGCCCCAACTCCTACGTCTGAGGCATCAACCTCAACCACAAACTGAAGGTTAGGGTCCGGGAGCGTGAGGATCGGGGCAGTAGTAAACCGCTCCTTTAATTCCTGAAAGGCTCTCTCAGCCGGTAATGACCACTGAAATTTTATGTTCGAGGAGGTCAATTTATGCAAAGGAGAAGCAATGGTGCTAAAGTTCCTAATGAAACGTCTGTAAAAATTAGCAAAGCCCAGAAAACGTTGGAGATGTTTGCGAGAAGTGGGAGTAGCCCACTCAGTCACTGCGCTAACCTTTGCCGGATCCATCTGGATGTTGTCTTGCGAGACGATGAACCCTAGGAAAGCGACAGAGGACACATGAAATTCGCATTTCTCTGCTTTAACAAAAAGTTGGTGGGTGAGAAGACGCTGGAGAACCTGGTGAACATGCTTGACATGAGTGTCCTCATCTGGGGAGAAGATGAGGATATCGTCTAAATAGACAAAGACATATTGGTTCAACATATCACGAAGTACATCGTTGACCAACGCCTGGAATACCGCTGGCGCATTCGATAACCCAAAGGGCATTACTAGGTACTCATAGTGACCACTTGGAGTATTAAAGGCGGTCTTCCATTCATCCCCCTCTCTTATCCTCACCAAGTGATAGGCGTTCCTCAGGTCCAGTTTGGTGAA